ATAATGCAAGCTGTACATTATACTCCTTTGATCTTTGAGATGGTTTGTATGTGACTTCTAGGTTTCCCTTTGCAATATTGCTTCATGCCATTGACACTTTAGATTAGCTACTTATCAACTTACTATACTGCCTATAAGGGGTGGTGGTGGTGGTGATGGTAGTTGTCAGGGGGACCAAAATAAGCTATTATTTTAACAGACTGCAAAGGGGTCTATGATACAAAAAGACTAAGAACCCTTACCTTTTTTGCCTTAAATTACTTTAGCAGCTTTAGAGAAGAAGGATTGTAAGGGGCAAGGCTGAAGGGATAGGGACAAGTTAGTAGGTTGGTAGTTCAGGCAACTGAATACTACTGATGGGGGTCCTGTGAACTGGAGAGAAAGGGTCGGAAGGGAGAGATGTTTTAGAGGCAGAATCATCAAAACCTGGGAACTGCCTGGATTTGGGAGTTGTTCTTTTTTCTTTCTTGTTTCTCCCTTAGCAGCCTGAGGCAGTGCAGTATGGTAGTGCTGGACTCGAGAATCAAGAGAGATGTAGGTTTGAGTCTTTCTTCTTATACTCGCTATGTAACTGTGGACAAGACACTCCACCTCTTGGCAATATAGCTTCCTCGTCTACAAAATGGGGACACATATCAACAGGGTTTCGGTGAGGATGGAATGAAATCATGTAGGTGAGATGATGTTAAGAAAAGTGCTTTGTAATCATTAGTGTACTATGTAAATAAGTGCTAATTATTATCACTGGCACATAGTAGGTATTCAGCAAATCCCTGTTTGATTTATTTTTATGCTTTATGGACCAATAATTTTAGAGCTAGAAAGTACCTTAGAAATCATCTATTCTAACCTCTCGTTTTACAGATGAGAAAACTGAGGACCAGAAATATTATGTTGAAGTTAAATTTCTGACAAGTGATCATTTGAATGCCACTAGGGAAGGGGAACTCATTTTCTCCTGAGACAGCTCAGATTTTGTAGATAGTTCTAATTGTGAGAAAGTATTTCCTTACATCTAGGCAGAATTTGTCTTCTGGCAAACTGCATCCATTGTTCCTGTTTCTATTCACTGGAGCCATGCAGAAAAATCCCTCTTCCTTGAGAATAGCTATTATTTTCACCTCAAGTCATATTTTCTCCAGGTCAATCATTCTTTTATTGCAAGGTGTATGATCCATATTAGAAAATAGCTGAGCATAAATTACTAATTCAAATTATATATAAACACATATAATTACTTTGCTGCACTTATAACTCTTTCTTAATTTATAGTTATATTATCTATTTTCTAATTATATAATTATATTTTAGATTGCTATCAGGGAAAATAAACTAATCTACTGCTGACAATGTTAAAATATCTGCAACAAAAATGACGTGTTAAATTCTACAGCTCTAAAGTGATATGCACCCTTCTATAAGATAATCTTTAAAGAATAGATATGCTACAAGATGTTAGAAGTGGTACATAAAGGCATCGTGGTATGGTGGATAAAGAGTAATCCTTGGAATAAGGAAGACTTGGGTTCAAGTCCTACCTTTGATACATGTTGCCTATATTACCATGGGCAAGTCACTTAACCTCTCAGTAACTGAGCAACTCTCTTTAAATTGTAGAAGATGCTCCAGTGAACACTGGTGGAAGGAATTTCCTCATCTGGGAGTTTCCTATACCAAAGGAATCACAGATCCAGTCCCTACCTGTATTCCTCTTCCTAGAGTACTCATATGGGATTTTCTCTGAAGTGTTTACCTGATACTAGAACTCTAACATTGTTTTGGAGGCATTCCTTATATGTTTTTCACATGTATGAAAATGTTTCCAGATCTTGGATTTTAGTAGGTATTGTATGTGACTTCTAGGTTTCTGTTTACAATATTGCTTCATGCCATTGACACTTTAGACTAGCTACTTATAAACTTACTTACTATACAGCCTACGAGGGGTGGTGGTGGTGGTGGTGGTTGTCAGGGGACCAAAAGAAGCTATTATTTTAACACACTGGCAAAGGGGTCCATGCCACACAAAAAGGTTAAGAACCCTTGCCATTTTTGCCTTAAATGATTTTAGCAGCTTTAGAGAGGAAGGATTGGAAGGGGCAAGGCTGAAAGGATAGGGACGAGATAGTAGGTTGAATTGACCTCATTGTTAAGCTCCAGATGTCTTCACTTGAATTTCTTACCAGTTCAACAAGTCCGCAAACAAGATGATTTACCAGCTCCCTGCCCCCATACTCCCAAATTTGTTTCTCCTTATCACTTCACTATTTTACTCAGTGGTTCCACCTTTCATATCATCTCCCATGTTATAATGATCTTAGATTCTTCTCTCTTCCTTTGACATTTATTAACCAGAGATAAAGAGTCTTCCCATGTTTCTTTGAAACCATCTGCTTCATCATTTCTTACAGCACAATAATACACCATAATATTCATATGCCATAATTTGTTCAGCTACTCCCCAAATGATGGGTACCTTCACTCCCTTAGCTGTCAGTTTTTTGCCATTGCAAAGAGTTGTTATAAATACTTTTGTACATGTGGTTCCTTTCCTGTGTTATCTCTTCCATTCGTCTTAGACTTTCCATCTAAGAGAAATTTCTGCTTTTTCCCTTAGACCCCTTTCAAAATGACCTCCATTTCAGGTTTACTCTTACTTTATCTTCTCACCAGGTATCCCCCCCTGCCCCCGCCTTCTGAGCTTAATTTTTCAGCACACAGAGAAAAGGTAAGCTATGTGGCTCAACTTTTTTGTTGAACTTCATACAACCCAAATTGTTTAATTAAGAAAGGAAAACAGTTAAGACTTACTGTTTATATTGTGATCCTAATTGTTATCTATCTATCTATCTATCTATCTATCTATCTATCTATCTATCTATCTATCTATCTGTCTGTCTGTCTAGTACTGATGCCCTCATATGCCAGTCATTCATGTTGGCTTTTGAATTTCTTTTGGGGAGGGAAGGCATTTGACCCTGATTTTTGGTTTATGCTGCACCTCAAATTATGCTAGCTATTTTTTAAAATGAAAAACACTACTCAAATCTCAAGGGATTTTTCTACTTTCCTGAAGTGGACATATTCAATTTTCCTAGGGTTTCCTAGAGCTCTCAGAAGTTGAGTGACTTGTGCAGAGTAGTAGGAGTTGAACCCAAGTCTTCTGGGCTTCTAGGTCAGCTCTCTATCTACTATACTACACTGCCTCTCACATATTCTATATAGCTGTGTGTATGTGTTCATACACATCCACACAATATCCATGTAAGTGTATATAGAATAAATACAAAGAGAATTAATAAAAATAAAGACAAAGTAGTTAACTTCAAAGTCGGTCTGGAGAGAGGGCACTAGTAGTTGGGTGGATTAGGAAAGACTTTATGAAAAACGTAGTATATAAGCTGCATATTGAAGTAAAATAAGGATTCTGTGTAATAAAGATGAGGAGGGAGTACATTTTAGGAATTTCTAATGACCAAATCCAAAAGACACAGAGATAAGAGATATAATGTCGTGTGAGAAACAGAGAGAAGACCACCCTAAATGTAACCAAAGTGAAGGCTGGTAAGAGCTTACGAAGGGCTTTAAAATCTAAAATAAGCTTATTGTATAGCCATAAAAGCTACAGATAAGTTTATCTATTGTCTTAAAGGAAATAGAGAACCATAAGAGTTTACTTGAGTAGAGGAGCGACATGGTCAGATCTGTTCTTAAAGAAAATCACTTTGGCAATGAGGAAGCTATTATAATAATCAAGGCAAGTGGTGATGAGGGCCTGAACTAAGGTAGTAGCTGTGTAAGTGGATAGAAGGGGTCATATGAAAGTCACATAGAATTAGAAGCAATGCAATTTTTCAACTTATTAGATATGTGAAGCAAGGGAGAGTTGGGCATTGAGAATAGCGTTCCCCTACTCCACGGAAGCCTTCTAGCGGATCTGAATGGCCACTTGTTAGGGATGCTGTGGAAGACTCCTGTTCAGGGGTAGCTTGGGCTAGGTGACCTCTGTGGACCTTTCTATGCTGAGATTCTGTGGGGCTGTGTCAGAAAAAACTTAAAAGTATTTGGAAGGACATCAGAAATAAAGATAAACAATAAAATGGTGTGAAAGCAAAATTGAATTTATGTATATTTTAGGAAGATATCTGTTAGATAAATTGATGACTAGATCAAGTCCAGATATTACTCCCTTTGACTGAAAATCATTATAAAACTTTCTGATCAAAGTCTGGGTACAATGGGCTTTTTTTTAAATTTTTTTTTTTAGTTTTCAACATTCCCCCATTTTTTCTTTTTGGTGAGGCAATCGGGATTAAGTGACTTGCCCAGGGTCACACAGCTAGTGAGTGTTATGTGTCTGAGGCCGAATTTGAACTCAGGTCCTCCTGACTCCAGGGCCATTGCTCTATCCACTGCACCACCTAGCTGCCCCTACAATGGGCTCTTTATAGTAAGTTATGAAACTCAAAACAGAGCAATGCTAGGGTCACTTTGAATGTAAAAATCTGACATCTTATTGTAAATTTCATAAAAGGAACAATGCATAACCACGTGCATTTCCCTAGTTTAAAAAAAACCCCAAACACATAATCACCAAACAAAACCTCTTTACTTCTGATTTTAAAATTGACAATCCCCAAACAGACAACCAACGAATTGCTTGTCTGTGTTATTGGTATAGGTCTGGCTAGTTGTATTTACATAGCCTTTGTGAGATTAAAAGTACAAGCTTTACTAATTGTTTACTTTCTCCTCTACCAATATTTATTTTGCCATTTTTTTCTTCTGCTATCCTCTTTCTTCAACTAAAGACCCCTGCAATTGATCTTTATTGTTATGGTTTCTTGGAAACTGTTAATTGAAAGTATTCATTCCTTTAGTTCTGTGTAAATAAATTCGAGCTCTTTCAGAGAAGCAGCAGATAAGTAATATTCTTTAAGTTCAAATGTTTGTAAAAATAAAAATATATATCATTTGTCATGATTAAACACAAGACTTACCAACTTTTAATCTGCCTGTGACCTTTCCTTCTGAATTTCGAGCATTGACAGTCACGTTTTGTGTAGATTGTAGAAGTAGAGATGAATCCTAAAACAAAGGTTTACAGAATTAATAGAACCTATGGAATTTAAAATTAAAATTATGACTGATTTATATACAGAAATCTCTCCATATCCACATTCCTGAAACCTGTTTATGTAGTTTTTGTCAAAACAGAGGTTGAGGAAAGGAAAAGATGAATGAACTGCCTCTTCAAAAATGATAATAATTGCATAGGTCTATGATGCAAGATACAGATCAACACCAAACGTAAGCAAGTTTTGGTGACGCCTTCTTTCCTTCTTGAGGATTCTAAAGGCAAATTTGCATTTTTAATAACTGCTCTTCAATATTTTGATAACCTAAAGAATTTAATGCTTTCTCTGTAAAATTTCAGTTTCTTTTCTAGAAATTGTGAATGTTTCAAAATGCAAAGTTTGTATTTGACACAGATTTGTCCTGTGTTTTGTGAGTGTGTGTGTGTGTGTGTGTGTGTGTGTGTAGAGGGGACTGAGGTGATTTCTGGTTTTAGAAATTCACATTGGAATGGGCCCTGAAGTAGTTCTATGAGCCCTGAAGTATTTCTAGAATGTGACATTTTAATCTTGACGGCTCATTTTTTATGATGGCTCACTTGTTTATATGTATCAACAATCAAATGGATATTTTTTAGTTTTGTGTTATTAAAGTCAGGCAGTACTGTAGCTCTTCTAGAAGAAAGTCACAAATTTGCCTAGGGGCCTGTCATATCTGGTATTTTATTCTAGAGGGAAAGAGGTAGCAATCTGCTACCCTTGAAAAATCTGCCCATTGGCCTGGCGTTATGAAAAACGTGCTTATGGAGATTTTTCTAGTTTTTAATAGTCTACATAGAACAAATGATTATATACTCCTAACCACAAAATCTCAGGATCTTAGAAAATCATCAGAATGAACTATACCTAACTAGGTGCATGGTATTTGGATAATGAATTTTGTTATCTTAATGCATTAGTGATGTGACCAGAATTAGAATCATTACAGTTGGAGGGGACCCTTGGTGGCAATCCAGTCCAAGCTGTACCTGACCAAGAATGTCCTCTACCATGTTCTGAACAAGTAGTCCTCCATTCTCCACTTAAAAACCTTAGGTGAGCTAAAATAGAATCAAACAATCAAGCATTTATTAAGTGCCTACTATGTGCTAGACATTGTGAACGAGATAGATAGCTCTGGAGTCAGAGGATCTGGGTTTAAACGCCATCTGTGTAACTTATTATCTGTGTGCCTTCGGATAAGTCATGTAACCTCTGAGGGCTTCAGTTTTTTCATAAAATGAGGGAATTAACTTGATCTTTCAGGCCTATTATAGCTATAATCTTATGGTGCCAAGAACAAAAATAAAGTAGACCCTGTTCTCAAGGAATTTACATTCTATCAAGGTCACTACACACATATATAAGTAAATATAAAATATATAGACACAAAGTAATTTTGGGATTTGGGGAAATATTAATAGCCAGGGGATTGGGAAAGATCTTATGTATGAGGGGGTACTTTAGTTTAGTTTTGAACAAAACTAGAGATTCATTCAGAGATAGAGACATTATACTCCACGGTGGGGGGAACCTGGACAAAAGCAGAATGTAATATCTGAGAAATAGCAGATAGACTGGTGTAGATGCAATATATAGTCTCTAAGAGAAAATTATGTCTAATAAACCTGGAAAGCTACATGGGAACCAGATTGTGAAGTACTTTAAAAGGTAAAAAGAAGACTTGAGTTCTATTTAAATGATAGTGGTAGGGACCATCCCTGCTTCTATATAATATCTCATCCCCTGGCTTCTCTTGACATTGGATTCTTCTATGTCTTCTCTGATGATCCTTCTCAGGTCCCACCATAGGCTTCCTATTTTTTTCCTCCTTTCTCCATGTACCTGTAAATGAGTGTTCACTGAGCCTTGGTCCTTGGTTCTCTTATCTTCTTACTACATTTCTACCTTATTGTGATTCTAATTCACTCTCATGGCTTTGATTATTTCTATTAGGATAATTTCCCAATCAATATTTCAAGCCTCAACACTTTCCTACAGATTCAGTCCTAAATTTCCAGCTGTCTTCTAGATCTTTCTATCTCTACCTGTATATCTAACTTGGCACTTCTAACTCATCATGTCCCAAACTGAACTCAGCATCTTTTCCCCAAAATTGCCCTTTCCACTATCTTCTCTATTTTTGTTGATGGCCTCATTATCTTCCCAGTTACCCAACCTTATAATCTTGGGGTCATCTTTGATTCTTCCTTCTGTGTCACCCATTACATCCAATGTGTTCTTACTTCCTGTTGATTCTACCTTTACAATCACTTCTATCCCTTCTTTTATACTGCCACTGCAACCCCTCTTATTCAGATTATCACGAGTAACCAGGATTTTAAGAGCCTCCTAAACTGGTCTCCTCTTATGCCAATCTCTCCTCCAATTCACCCATGTACTACTATTTTCATTCAATTCCACCTTCAGTGGCTCCCCACTGCCTATCAAATAAAGAATCAATTCAGTGTCCAGACATTTAAGACCTCAATGATTTAGTGCAGCCTACCTTTTCCAGTTGTATCCCAAGTTGTTTTACTTCACATAAACAGTATTCTAGATAAACTCTACTACTCACCCTCTTTCATTCACGTCCAAACCTTTCCAACATCCTTGACCTTTCTCCTGCTATTCTCTAGCATGGCTCCTAGATCCCTTTCTTTTCCCTCAAAGTTTAGGTGAAGGGCCATCATCCTTCAGGAAGCATACCATTCTCTCTCGAGGTTTAAAGGATTCCTCCTTCCTCAAACTTCACAAGCATTTTGGAACTTTCCTTTAGTTTTATAATATTTTATCTTATATTGCAACTTTGGGTGTATGCCTTATCAGATTCTTCTATTAGATTCTGCATAGACTCTTTGAGGGAAGGGGATATGTCTTATGTTCTCAGAATCTAGCACAATGACTTAAACACAATAAGAGCTTGGTAAATGTTTACTGACTTTATATGAACTAGGAGTACCACAGGCAGGGTTAACAGGGAGATATATATATATATATATATATATATATAATTAGTGTACTTTTGTTATAAATGTGCTTTTTTCATAAACCAGAATTATTTATTAGAATAGTTAATAGAGATATAAGAATTTAGTGTTACAAAATCTATTAAAATAGTTAAAAAGAAACATTAAACAAGACTCTATTGTAATAATGCTTACAGTGTACAGGGTATTTTAATACTGCTGGACCTAGTCAGGGGACTGCATCCATCTCTACAAACCACTAGTTGTGTGACTTTAAGTGAGTCACTTACCCTCTTGGCTCTAGCTTCCTCATCTATAATGAGAACGTTGGATCAGGTGCTATCCACATTGCTTTCCACCTCCAGTTTTTTATGATTTTAGAATAAAATTACTTAAACTAATATTAGTTGCTACTTAATATAATTGTAATTTCCCCTCCACCAGGGTTTGAGTAATACTAATACTTCCTGAGTCTGTGAATTCATTTGTATTCCCCTTGCAAAATTATAACTGTTGTTTAACTTTATAGAAAGACAGGTGAAGCATTTTTAAGAGCTTACTATATGTTTGGCACCAGTGCTAAACCCTGAGAACATAAATACAAACAAACAAACAAACAAAAAAAAAAGATAATCCATACCTAGGTGCTGAAAGGCAGAAGCAGGCATGACTAACAGGAGAAGCTCCTTAAATGGTGGTTCTGAGCAGAAAGTAACCAATCAGAGGAAGGGGCTGTAGGGGCAGAGGTGTCTCTAGGGTAAGAAGGTGCTTGGAAGGTTTTTGCAGGTTACTGTGGTAAAAAAAATTCATTTCTCTGCAACCAGCCATATAATTTTCAGACTTTGCTGTGGTGGTTCCAGGACAGTAGAAACACATTCTCACCTGGCCTACACTTGAAGCCTGGCCAACTTAGTAAAACATGTTAAAGCATTGTGCTCTACTTTTATAGTTTTTGAAGACCTTTAGGGTCACTTCCAAACCACATGAAGGAGTTGAACTTCAGTAGAAGAATAGGAAAAGAAACAAAACCCTGGATATTTATAGAATACTTTACGCTTTAAAATATTTCATTTGTGCACTTTGCTTTTTTAGTACCTTCAAACTTCTAAAGTTCTTTCTATATATTAGCTCATTTGAGCCACAAAAGAACTCTATAGGATAGTTAATATCGACAGGCATTATTCCCATTTTGCAGATATAAAAATTAATATCTATGAGACTCAGAGAGGTTGAATTGTCTCTGGGCACACAGCTAGTAAGAGTGAGAGGTAGAATTGAACCCAGTTCTTTCTGACTCTAAACAAATCCATTACATCACTATAATTAATCTTGAGTCTTTTCACTTAGAGTTAAACTCCTTCTGGTCCCAGGTCTTTTACTTTGAGGTTTTATTTCAGTTTACCCTCAAAGGGTCTTAGAAGTTTTCTTCTACTACAACAAAAATGTTCAACCTATAGGAAAGCCCTCCTCTATTGATTGCTCCAGATTTCCTGATCTCAGTTCTGTGCCTCAACTCACATCTTAGGGAAAAGATGAAGTATAGGAATGTGAGGGGTAGGGTGAAGTGGGGGAAGTGTTGGGAGGAAATCAGCGTGAATCTGCTGGTCTGTGTATAACTCTTTGATTTCCTTTATTCAATCTGAAGGTGAAGTTTTAAGTCTCTTGACCTTAAGTCTTTGTCTTTTAAAGTTATAAATGATGTTACTACTAATCTACATCTAATGGTTGCTTAGTAATTATCACATAGAAATTAGCCTTCCTTGAACATTGCTTCGAACAAATTCCTTACCTCTGGCACTCAAAACTTCTTTAAATCTAATCTGTTCTTTTCCAGTTTTATTTCTCACTTTCATCAAATGAACCCTACCACTCCAACAAAACTAGGCTTTTGTTTGATTCCTGAAAACATCTTGCAATTCTTATTTTTGTCTTTACTCATGACATTCTTTATCTGTAAGACCCTCCTCCCTCCTTCTTACTTAATCAGATACTATCCATCTTGAAT